TCGGCGGAGTGCATGAGGCGTTAGTAAAATCGGCAAAGCGTGCTATCTCGGCGATTCTGAAGAACGCGGAGGTCACAGACGAGGAGCTATTGTCTGCTATTGTCGGCGCAGAGGCGCTCATGAACTCACGACCCCTGTCCTACATGTCGGCAGATGGTCGTGACCCGACTCCACTAATGCCCAACGATTTCCTGTTTGGCCGGGTCGGTACTCGGTTTGCACCTGAAGGAGTGGACGAGAGCGAGTTCAACCCTCGGCAACGCTGGCGTGTAGTGCAATAACTCGTGCTGCGCTTTTGGCGGAGATGGATGCAGGAAGTCGTGCCAGAGCTGAACCGGCGACTCAAGAGGAGGACGGCCGAGACTGACCTCAAGGTCGACGACATCGTTCTAGTGACATCCCAAGACAACCATGGGGCACTTGGCCAATGGGTCGTGTCACCGAAGTGCACCCTGGTCCAGACGGACACGTGCGAGTTGTGAAGGTCACGGTGGGCGACAAGACCTACACCCGCCCAATCGTGCTTCTTTGCAAGCTGTTCTGTGAGTAGCTCCTTGTTTGCCTATTTCAGAACAATAGTCAATTTTCGTATTATTTTGGTCACTGTGAATTTTGGCTCAGTGAGAAGGAAGAAAAATGTTTAGAAGAGTATCTCTTTGTCGTTGTTACTATAATTGAGTGGCACATTCGAATTACAATTCTACGAGTACTAGTTTGAAATTGCGTTATGAATTTGAGCAATTGTTACGTTGTACAGCAGGTACGAACAATTAATATTTACATACGGGCTTTCGTTTCGGAGTCCCGCGCTGTGACTCAGCTACTTTCTATTTCGTTTGCCTTGTATTGTCTGACTAGGGGCGCTGTCACCCCGTCGGGTGCAAGCACCCTTGGACAGTAGCACTTCACTGAACGACAGTGTTCATTTTCGATTTCCTCTTCTGCTTCTGTTGCACAGTTTGAATGTGTGCTTTTTCCGTACTCTGCTCACGATCGAACCATGCGCGGGTCGATCTCCATAATTTTATCTTCCGTTGCCATGACTAGCATGATTACAATTTTTACCTGTCAGGGGTGGATGCAAATTTGCGAGCTCCTGACCTTTACTCCTTTTCCAGTTTCCTGGGCACTAGGCCCATGGACCACCAGTAAATAGTGATAATTATAATGGAGCGGCAACTCGACCCCAATACGGACATCGCTATGCTTACTGATGACGAGCTCATCCAGCGACTGGGACTGGAGTTCCTCAGAAAGGCGAACAGGCCAATGCTGATTGCCCTACTGAGAGGATCTAAGGACTCGGCTCCCGTAAGTCATGCTAACCCTGATGTAGCTAGCCTTAGTGCCGCACTCTCCGAACTCACCGGGGTAGTAAGGGAACTGAAATCAGAGCTAAAGACGATGTAAGATGTGAATTTACACCTGAGAGATTCCGACAGGGAAATTCAGGCGTTGAAGGACGACGTGCAAAAGCTCCGACGTGAACTGTATGCTGAAGAAGATCACCAATCCCGTTTGACCCACGTCCACGCTGACCCTGGGGATACAACTCATCTCAGAACTACTACAAGTAGTACTCTCCCCGTGCACTTTATAGCCTTGTCACACGACGGTTCGTGCTCACGATTGCACGATACCATGGTTCTACGATCCACGGCAAGACACTTCACACGACGACTAGCTCTGCCGACACGGCGCACGTGAGTGTGACTGTTGCCTAGGTAATTGTAATGGAGGCACGTGTTTTGATGGAAATAAATCAAAATATTTTTTATTTTCATGCCTTCCGGGAAAATTCAAACTCTCTTTGCCTGATGTTGGAGTAGAACAAGACTGAAAAGACGACTTTGTTGCTTTGGCGTTCTTGACTGGATTTCTGGGACCATGGATTTGACAAATCCGCGTAGCTTTGCTCCGTGGCCTTGGGCAACTGGGTCCGGACAGGGCAATCGGCTCACAACCTACAGGGTTTGGAGTGCCTCGTTCGATTTCCCAAATCCCTTGTGGCCGTTCAGCCGTTTTGTTGCCTTGTCTTCTTTCGCTGCTCGCGTCATCATCATTTTATGAGTCGATTCAAGTAGGGAGCAGTAGATTTCGATAAGCATCCTTTCGGATTCTGGGCTGAATGTCCGGGTGGCCATTGTTCAGATAGCTATTCGCAACGCTGTCACCTCCAACAACTAGTCGCACGTCCGCGTGAGGGACAACAATACGAACTTAGAAGTTGCGACTTCGGCGGTAATAGTCATGAAGTTGGTTGTTCCAACTAGGAACACACGCTTCTTGCCGAGCTTGACACTTGACTGACTGCTCATCAGTTGAGCTTGAGTAGGCTGAGGAAGATTGTGCCTGAAAAGCACCACTTATATACTGCTCTCCAGGCCAAACCATCACCAGGGATACAAACTTACAGAGACGTTGCGGACGTGCGACTAGTTGTTGGAGGTGACAGCGTTGCGAATAGCTATACTGGCTCTCAACGTCTGTTTATCACAACTCCATGAGCGACTCTGACTCACGCTGTTATCTGGAGCTTCACGAGGTGTTTGTCGCGCTGGAAACAAAGCGTCTCTGTAAGTTTGTATCCCTGGTGAAGGTTTGGCCTGGAGAGCAGTATATAAGTGGTGCTTTTCAGGCACAATCTTCCTCAGCCTACTCAAGCTCAACTGATGAGGGGTTAATTCCCCGAAACACCGTGTATTGAGCAGGGAGTGGTGCTTTCTTGCAGGTTTGCCGAGTGGAAGGTGCGACGTGCTCCTCGTGTGCTCCGGATGGCAGTCGTGAGTCAGTCAAGTGTCAAGTTCGGCAAGAAGCGTGTGTTCCTAGTTGGATAAACCGTCTATCATCTTATATTATATCATCATTAGTATCCTGCTACTATCCTCCTCTAATGATGAGCTCGAAGAAACGAATCAGCTGTCTAGAGGCGTAAACAATATCAGATATTGTTTACTTGTTATTCTGTCAACGGAAGTGTCCTTGCTGTGCTGGTGTGTTTATGCTTCGTGCATTAGTTCGGCCAAGAGCGCATGGTGGTGGCGGGTTGAGGATGGAGTACAGCGGAGAATGACCCAGAGCTCTGTCACAATGTATTTCATTAGGAAGGTATAGAAACAGAAAAAAACTATCTTGATCTTGGGCGGAAACAGCCCGTCTCACATTAAATATACTAGAAAATAGTTTACTCTGAACATGCAGTCTTCCTAAGAGAGAGAGAGAGACGGGGGGGGGGGGTATATTCATAGGTTCGAAAGAACCGCACACACACTTTGCTGCAGAGAGCGGCAAGCTTTGGCCCTCGTACTTCGAAGAGGGAGCAATCCAATGCGCTACGCTTGCGATTAACAGCAAGCTTTGACCTTACAAAGGTACGACTCATCACTGGCTCTGGGGTAATGTTCCTGGAACAAATTCCCCATTGCCGACTGAGGGCCAGGGAGCACGCAATCTGCCTTCCCGGGCGAGAAGTGTTCCAGCACAAGAAGCAGCACGAATACATGCTGACAAAGACCACCATCACCACCAGCCGGCACACAGCACATTGTTCTTCAAACACCATCCACTCCTTCCATGTGTTTGCACTGTCCTCCTCTAGCTCTTCACGCTCAACAAATACCACGCACTGCTCATCGTTCTTTTTAATGCTTCTTCTGGGTTGGCTAGCCCTTAGACTTGACAAAACAGCGATCACCACTGCTATCGTCACCACATAGCAGTCGCTTCCACCAGTGGCTTTCCCTGTCTTTGCAAGGTGTCCAAGGATGGCTGCTGTTGTCACTACAGGCAAATCAGAAGTACTTTAGTGGCTGATGTCCAACCAGATCGTTGGAAAATCGATTTTTCCACTTCAGGGCTGCTGATCGCGATCGCGACTTGGTGACTTTGCAGCACCACGGTTACCTTCATAGAAAATGGCCCTGGAGAGGAAAAGGCAGACCAGAAAAAGGTTACTATTATCTTCAGCATCGATCTCAAGGAGAAAAGAATACGGTCTGCTGTAGCCTAGGCACAAAATAAGTCTCACAACACGATTCGCGATTCGAATATTTAAACAACAAAAAAACTCACCTCTGGAGTAACTACTGTTTGTGGCCCGAGATCGTTCCCTCCCGCGCCTTGAAAAAATCCTGCAGCTGCATCACAGTCTATGTCTCTCTCGGAGACTCTGCTCCTACCAGCAGGAGGTTCAGCACCGCTCGAAGCCATCGCAAACCACTTGAACTAAGCAGAAGACATTCCAAAACAAACCTGAAGCACACTGTCAAAGATGCTGTCACGTTCAAAAACTAGCTCGATCGCGAGTGAGGTTGCCCCCGTGCTCGAACCCAGTATAATAAGGGGATCGGTCTATTGACAGGCAAAGTGCGAGAGAGGGGTGATAACCAAACAGGGCAAGAAAAGAAAAGAATAAGGAAGAATTCAACTCGGATGGTGAGCGTATTAAATTATGGTGAAAAAGGAGAAGGAAAAAATGTTACGAATTTTGACTAACTGTCCATCAACGTGACCAGATCAAGGTCAGCGATTGCGACAAAATTGCACAAAACTGACAAGGAGTACTGGAACATTCGGAGACCTGACACCTAGCTCCAACACTTCTCCAAGTATTTCGACTCCGCCATATCGCTGATGCATCATGCATGGTATACGCCATATGCGCTGTGTGCGATTTACTGTATACGCTGTCATTTGCATGCTTTACATATCTGGTTGTCTTAGACTGAGTTAATATGTTCGATCAAGTGAAGTATACCATTAAGAAAAAGCAATTGTCCTCATGCCGTGTGCTCGTTCGTTCCTGACACTTACGAGAATCATCGGCTTCATAACAAAGCATTTCACACACAGCGTCTACAACTGTTTCCTTCAATCAGTGCAGCAGATAATAATACTCACAGATAATCGAGGTTTGTTCATCACGTATTCAGCAGTCCTCTATATACACACAGGTATAATTACTATTCTCTGCGTTCAGTGGTGCAGTTGAGAATACTTACAGTTGTTGGAGGTTTGTTAGACCAGAGAACACACCGTCACTTAAATTCTGGATCTGATTACTGTACAAATATCTACAAACGACAAAGCACAAAGACAATGTTGTTCTTGCTTAGTTCCGGGCAGTGCACAAAACACAGAGTCTAGAATATCGTAGTTCTAATCTAAAAGGCCGAATCATGACCTTGTTTTCAGAAATAACCTAGGCTGCTAACCACAACATGATTCATATGCAACTGGGTTAGGTTGCACAGTTCACATACACCAATGTTAATATAGTCTCCATCATTTTCCTCTATTGTCAAGCAAGAGGTTTGTTGCAAAGCTGAGAAAACGCAATTTCTAACGATGCATTGCTTGACACTGCAGACACACAGTTCCCACACGCCGCTGTTAATATAGTCTCCGTTATTTTTCTCCTATTGTCAAGCAAGAGGTTTGTTGAAAAGCTAAGAAAACACAATTTCTAGCAATGCATTGTTTGACAATGCAGAATAATAACTGGCCGCCGAAGAATGAACAATACACTGGCTTGAATTGTTAAAAATTGCGTGAGAACTGAATATGACAGTATACCTAAACTGGGACTACCCCAGGGATTCATAGTCTATCGCGGATCACGGCGTTAGAAAAGGTACTTCGAAGTACAAAAATCCTCGGTCTTCTTTATGGTTTGTTTAATTAATGTTTCGTTATTTTGACACCCCCTTTTTGTCATATTGATGAAGAAATGGAGCAGAAAAAAAAGAAGTGCGTGCTACAAGGTTTGAAGATTCTGGAAATGTCAATGCTTTCTCCAACAGAATCTGTGATTGTTTTAGAGAATTATTCGCAATGGGCGAATGCCTCATGGCTTCAATTAGTAATCTAAAGGCCATATCATCTTCGTTCTGCGCTTCCTAAAACTTCAGACCATTTAAAAGTTATAGAGGGATACATGATTTTACATTAGCCACTGTAATGCAGTTTTGAACATGTAGGAAGAATGTGTTGCTCCATTTACTGTGTGCTGTCGTCTGGGTATCTCATGCATGTAACTAGGAGTAGATAAACAAGAGTGTGCAACTCCGAATTTTTCCTGCACAATCTCCAGATAACCCCGCCCACGGCGGAATTTTTTGTTCAGGTCACCTTTTTTCAGAGAGACGTGCATTTTGCCGCAGAGCAGTGTGAGAGCACGTGCTGGGCACCGACCTTGTAGTGTGAAGCCCGGCCAAGTGCACGAGGGAAAACTTTCCAAAAGACTCGCAGCGCGTGCGGCGTCGAAAAGATTACGTCAACAAAAATTCCGCCGTGGGCCAACCCATCCGCGCGGATCCGGGAGTTGCACACTCTTGTTTATCTACTGTTGATGTAACCCATTTCATCCAAGGACGAGGATTTCACCTCTTGACGTTGCCCGGTTACTACTCTGGACATCTGGACATCTGGACATCATCTACCTTTCTTTCAAACTCTCGCTAGTTACGGCTCAGCTAGATGCAACCTCTCTGTGTAGTTAGGATCTGAATGCGCTCGTTCTTCATGCTCTTTCTTGTTTGCGTATCACCTGTGATTGTCGGCTGTCGTCGGACATCCCTTTGCTATTTGGATAGGGACTTAGTGAAATGGAAATAGTGTTGTTTTCCCCCTGGTCCCCGACACACAGCAACGCAAACTCTTGATTGTGTCTCAATTCTTATTATCATAACAACAAAGGACGAAGGCGCAGGTGAAAAATGGAAGAAAGAAAGTCAAACGAAAAGACAATAGGAAAGACACAAAGAAACTACAAAGCACAATGCACAAGCAGTAATAAAGCGAATACAAATCCATACTGGCCAATCACCAAATTCTCTATACCTTGACAAGACATGCAGAATCCCTGGATTTCTCTCAAAATCCCTGAATGGCTCGAAAACAAGACAAAAAGCGGTTTTGCGGCCAAAAAAATGTTCGACGGCATAGACTGCAGGTCTGCTTACAGCACGGTTCGACTCTGCAGTGCGGTTCGATCATTCGGCGCCCACGCCTGCCAGTTCAGATCTTGCAGGCTAGGCTGGCCAGGTCTTGAAATGCCGCGCACAGTTCGAAGTGCAAGTGGGCACCGTAATTTTTTGAAGAAGAAAGAACGGGACATTCGAGGTGAATCCATGCAGCGTTCAGGAACATTCTGTATCAGACAAAAATGTGACTTTACTGGGAGTTTGTTTCAAATCAATCAGAACAATATCAAGCCTTCGGTGCTCAATGAAGCGATCGCACCAGATGGTGAAATCCCACAGAATCTTCATCTTCTGGTCCTGCGGAGATGTTGGCGCCTGAAGTATCTCTAGCTTCAGGCACGTTACCCGCGGGTGCATGATGCTCTTGGACCAACCACAGTGGTGCTTGTAGTACTCGTCTTCACAATGCAAGTCGCAACTCCTGTACACGCGGAGGCCAGCCGATAATGATGCTCCAAGTAATCCCGTCCAGCTAGCTTTGAACACTCGCATAGGATATGGGCAACCGACTCGCCTTCCTTCCCACACATTCGAGACAGGGGTCTTCTGCCCTGATGGAAGATTTGGGCCTTGAGAAGGTAAGTTGCCTAGGCCTCGTGTTGTGTCGCGATGATAAGGCTCTCCGTGGTCTTCTTGAGACTTGTGACTGACGAACATATGGGCTACATCAGCGCGTGGATCGAGAGCTCCATGCATAGTCATAAGCTTGCGCGTTCTTCGGTCAGCAGATTTCAACTCCTCCTGCGTCCTTGCCAATATACAAGCACAATACCATATCAAAGCCACAGCCCAGGTGTTGATTGCTTTGATGATGTTGTGGCCGTTAAGAGCTGACCGGAGTAGTCGTATGAGGCAGATGACGAACTGCAGTGGGGATATGGAGTAAGAGCTGACCGGAGTAGTCGTATGAGGCAGATGACGAACAGCAGTGGGGATATGGAGTCCCCATCGAAATACCCATGCTGAATGGCCGCCAATCTCAAGTTGTTGGTACCATTCCAACGGTCAACCTTCCACTGAGCCATGCTAACAGTCATAAGTCTGCGTACGGATTCTTGCATGCCAAACAGGTCTTTTATTTTTACGATTAGACGGTATATGACATCAGCCACTGGACTCTACATATATTATGACATCAGACACTGGACTCTACATATAATTATGACATCAGACACTGGACTCTACGACACAAGAACCAAATACAACAACGTGCGTAAATGATAGTCGAACGGAATTTCGCAACATTAGGGCTATCCCCGGATGTCATGGTTCCACGCCGGCCATATTGAATGTCACAGAGAGTGGATTTAACTACTGCATGAATCTCGTCAACGGTTCTTTTCCATTCTACTTGCCATAACCAAAGGATCGCACGACCAAGAGGTTGACACTTGCCAAATAATGTCAACATTCCTTTTCAACAACGAAAGTATGTTTAGCACACCTTTCAAGGACATTATTGATCAGTTACGAATGAAACTGTCTGTTAATTAAATATGCCATTTCGAATTACATTGTCAATCCGCTCTACATAATCTGTGGGATTCTTCTTTTCAAAGTTTAATGATGATGCCAGTCCTTCTTCTTTCCCACCGTGGACATTTCATGTATCGACTTTGCTGTTCGGACAATAAAGTGAGTAATAACTTCATGTTCTCCGTTAAGTCCAAATTTGAAATTGAGTAATAACTTCATGTATTGACAGTACTATTGTATTGTAGGTGCACATAAGTGTTCTTGTTCTGTATTGTCCCAGGGCATGTGATGTCTGTGGCAACTCTTGATTAGGTCTCACTTCTTATTATAACAACAAATGAAGAGGGGGCAGAAGGAGTTTTACAAACCACCAGTTCTCAAGTGGGAAAGGCCTTCGCGTCTATGGCACTGTATTCTTTGAAATGTTGTATCTCGACTCTGGTGTACCGCTGAGGTTTGCTGCATGGCATACGCTATATGCGCTGTGTGCGGTTTTTACTGTATACACTGTTATGTCATGTTTTATATGCGTATGCTTTCTTTATATACGCTGTCATTTGCATGCTATAAATAGCTGGTGATCTTAGTGTTAGTTTATTATATTCGATGAAGTGAAATATACTGTTGAAGAGAAAATAGTTGTCCTCGTGCCGTGTGCTCGTTCGTTCCTGACTTTTAGAGAATCAGAAGGGTTCACAACATATGGCGACCAAGCCAGGATTGAAGCGTGCATGCCAGACGCACTAGGTAATTTGGAGGCCATCTTCATCGCCAATGGAATTCGGATAGGATTGGAAGGCGAGAAGTTGGAGGAACATGTAGAGCAGAGGCTCCGACAGTGCGAGGAGCGTGAGGAGCGCAGTGCCAGACGGCAAGATGAGATGCTCAGCACCGAGTTTGACAAAACCTCAAAGAGATTAATGAGCACTTCGCCAAGGCGTATGAGGGTGACGGTGAAGCCGCCAGTGAGAGTGCGAGTGGAGGTACAGCGGAAGCTCCCAGTCACAGCGGTGGGCGTAAACCGTTGATGAAAAAACCCTCATATGTTGGAACGCAGCCACTGGAGCGTTATTTCGGCCTGTTTGAGGACATCTGTTCCAAGAACGAGTTCGAAGAAAGCGAATGGCTGCTGCGGTTGCGTATCGTGCTAGCGGGTAGCACAGTGGAGAGGATCTGTATTTGCTGCAATAACTACGAGGAAGCAAAGCAAGAGTTGCTTCCCTCGCTCGGAAAGACGTTGCTGACAGGCAAGCAGCGGTCAGAGGAGTCTTTTCAGTAATACGCGCGTTTGCCGAGAGGTAGAGGTGTGGACCACACTCGCTATGACGGAAGATAGCGAGGTGGACACCAAGTATAACGCCGATACATTATTATTATTATAATTATTATTATAGGTCAAATGGCCCCTTTGCTGCAAGCAATGGCAAAGTAGGTGATCGAGGATCAATGCGGACCTGGTCGAACGGCAGTGCTACGGGATGTCTCTGCGTCAGGTTCAGGAGCACGGCTGGTCTTACCAGATCGTGCACGGACGACAGGGTGATACTGCCAGGAAACCAGTGGAACGATCAGTGGCAAGGCTCAGTGCATGGCGATATCGGACGCAGACACAG